TTGGTGTACCAAATTTAAGGCTCTATTACGAGGCGGCATGTTTACTTTGGATTAAAGAATGGGTCACACTGAAAGATACTGATTTACTAGACCTAGAAGGATTTGATTTAAGATTTGGGTGGCATGCCTACCTCTGGCAGGAGAAAGATAAAATCCATAGAGGTTTTTATAACCATTCAGTTAGAGGGCCACTCTTAGAAGTTTGGAATAGGAAGAAAAGCGTGATAGAACAAAGTATCCCTTGGTGGCTCTCACCTGTGGACATTATCAAAATAAAGAAAGTAAACATGACAGGTAGAAGGTGGACGTATGAAGATCTCCTTATTAAATCAGAAGAAGGGTGGAAATTAAGACAACAGGATGAATTAAAAGAGAAAATCAAGGACTGGTTTCATTTACACCAAATTAACGCACTATGGAGGGAACATAAGAGAATAGGCATGGGAGAAAATAAATCTAGATTCCAAGTAGAGATTATCGAGAGTAACAACAAATTATTATCTAAAATGTATAGGCAACTGCTGGAAAATGAAAATAAGGAGGTGCTGATTAAAGAGGTAATGATTAAATGGAATAAAGACCTTGGATATGAGTTAGGTTATGACAAATGGCAAACTTTGTGGAAGAATGGCATGAGATTTACGGCATGTGCTGATTTAAGGGAGAATTTATACAAGATGATGTATCGTTGGTACCTGACCCCGGCCAGATTAGGGAGAATGTATAGAACGGCAGATAATACATGTTGGAGGTGCAAAGATAAGGTGGGGACCTTCATTCATATCTGGTGGACCTGCGGGGAAGTGAAAGGTTTCTGGGGACAAATTTATGAGGAGTTAAAGAAAATTTTGAAGTATAATTTCCCCAAGAACCCCGAAGCTCTCCTCTTAGGGATGATTGGGGAGGAAATAAAAAAATCAGATCAGACCTTCTTTCAGTACGCCACCACTGCCGCAAGGATTTTAATAGCAAAGAAATGGAAATCCCCCGAAATACCAACAATGAGAGAGTGGCGGGTGAAATTGTATCAATATGTGGAATTGGCGAGACTTACACAATATATTAGGCGGGACAACCCCAAAAAGACAGAGGATTGGTCCAAATTTTTAAGTTACCTTGAGATTAATTTGGGAATCAATAATTTAACAGTAGATGATGTCTAACTCCTACGACGTGGAAAGATAAAGGAAAATAACTGCAGATGATATATGTAGAATATTTAATCCAAAGCTGAGGTTATTGGAAGTCAAATGTGGGTAAGGGTGTGATTGGTTTTCTTTTTTCTTTCTTCTTTGTTCGTTTTTTTTTTTTCTTTTTCAGGTGTATATGTCTGATTTTATGTATGTGTAATTCTAAGTGTGTGTAATAAATATTTTTTTAAAAAAAAAAAAAAAAAAAAAAAAGGAACAAATGCAGAAGTGAGAGGGGCAGTCAGCTAAGCTGCCCACACATAGCACAAGCCACCTTTTAATCACAGTGGAAGAGAAAGCAATTGTGCTGGATCTTGGAGGTAGGAGAAATTAGGGCAAGGAAGCGGTGGGGTGAGTGAGGATCCAGGAAGAAGGGAAGGAGAGTGAAGGGTAACAAGTGCAGCAGCAGCACCCAAGAGACATGGTGCAACAGCAGAGAAAAATAAAAGGTGCAGGAGAGATAGCTGGTAGAGAAGAATCTGGAGGCAGAATGTCTTCCGCACATACACACAAGGCCTCACTTGTCATAACTAATAGTTGTTGATAGATCAGTCCTCTATTACAGGGCTCCACTGGGCTCCAGGCTGTATCTGGCTCCTCTGCCATGCCCTGCTTCCAGATCAACATGCTGCTTCCAGTCCATCATCTTGTCTAAACATTGCCTAGGAGAAGGCAGAGGAGGAAGAGATATTAAGCTGCCCTTCATTCCCCAGACGATCAAGAGCGAGAACAGGGACCGGTGGAGCGACTGCTACACAGATTCACAAATGAAGGACTGATTGTGTGTGTGATTTATTTCTGAGTAAAATATGCCCAAGAGGAACAAATTTATTGAAGGGATCTAGGTGAATATTTTTGAGGTGGGAAAAATTGACTCGGGGTGATCTCCAGGTAGGAAATTAATTTGGGACGAACTTATTGATTGCCGTCAGGATCTGGTGGCGGTATGTGTGAGAGAGAGGGAGAGAGAATGAATGAATGAATGAATGAATGGATGGATGGATGGATGAATGAATGAATGAGGTCCATGCCTGTATGAATGAATAAGTGAGAGGTTGCTCATGTGTGTGTTGGTGATGAAATAAAAATATGATCCACCTAGATAATATCCCACTAGCCAAGTTACACCAGCAGAACAGGTGAAAGCAGGATGGGGAAGTGGCAGAGCTACAATTTTATCCTAAGCTCCTTCATTTTTACTGACAACGATGACACAACTTCAGGCCAGATCAAAGGCTGGTGTAAATATTTTTCCTCCCTTTGAAGTCAACAAAGCAAAGAAAAACTAAAATTAAAAAGCTGTCTTCCTGCTTCTTGCCATGCCAATGTGGAAATGAAAGAGAACAGGATAATGTGTGGACCCACACCCAGCCATGTGACACCTCATGCAGTATACAAACTGCATACTGGGAGGCCACAAGTGAGATGAAAGGTGCCATGGCCCTTTCTAGAAGCTATTTAATTTGTTTCTTGTTCTTCTGATACTGTGTGGGCCTAGTTGCCACAGAGATGCATTAAAGTACCCAAGCCAAAGAAAAGCCCACAATCCTGAGGTAACACTACTTGGTGATGAAAGGATCTTAAAACTGCTTTACTCGGTAAATACATTTGGATAAGTGCTCCTGAAAATTTTAACAATTGAAATGTATTCAACATAGTGCATTTTGTAAATAAATTATGAGTATCACCAGGTACTTGAAGCTATATGCTTTTTCACCTTCTGGGGCTTTATTTCCTTCCATTTTAAATTTCTCAACCTGAGGAATAATCCACAGTTCAAAAAATATGGACGGGAAATACATCAAGAACAGGGGAGACTCATCAAGGGAACAAAACAAATCTGCAATATAGACGCGTTGCTAAAGACATACCATTTTAGGGGAGTGAGCAAATGAGATTTTAATCAAATTTCCCACTGTATGTATAATATTTTTGTTTCCTCTCCAGATTTAAGGTTATCATAACTACAGCAATCCTCTTCAGAGGTCGACAAGAGAACACACCTGGCATTCTTCTAGCAAACGTGTCTTTCAGCCTGAGGCATGTTGATGCACTCAGTTGTGGGAAGCATAATGCATCGTTTGTTTATTTATTTAGATGAGTTATATGCCGCCCTTTGCACACATCACAGGGCAGTTTACAACAAGGCAGGTTATGACTGGAGAGCCCAATTCTCCTGGCTTATTAGTTCAGGGGCAGGAAAGCAGGTTGGGTGGCCTGTCTGTCCATGGTGGCAGTGCTGAGAGGAGCTCCAGCCTACACACCTAAAACCCATGGCTTTTTTTTCATCTGGAACGCATCAAAACTCAGTTCTGGCACCTCTCAGGGTGGGCACCATGACATGGTGAGTTCTGGCACCTTTTTTTCTAGAAAAATAGCACTTCTAAAGCCTCACCCGTCTTAATAATACAGAACTTGCTCCTGATGCATACATTCTGGGAACAGAGATGGCATGGTGGATGCTGCCAAGTTCAGATGTGCAGGCCTGTGGCTTTATTCATTACTGTTGCCAGACTGCGCTCCCTAGTCTGAATCACGGTCAGTCTGTGTGTGCTGCTGCTGAACGAAGCTCTATGCCCACGTCTGAATTTCTTGGCCTGACCATCTATCTACTTGTTCTCCCCGACGTACACACATTTGGTGTAGGGGCTGATACAAGTAAGATGGCAGTGCCAGAGCATTTTGGGTTTGCAGGTGCAAAGTTCTGCTGCTGCATCATCCGCCATCCCTGCTGTATGCCGCTCAGCCCTGGGCACCAGGCCTGCTGGAGACGGATGTTGCCAGTATACATTTCTGAGATAGAATCCCAAGACATACACAGAATTTAAAAACAATGCGATCTCAAGGACCACCCGCACATTAGAGACCAAGCTTTTGCCACCAGCCTGAAGAAAGCAAAGGCAGAAATGATGTCTGAGGTAGAATCCTATGTTGCAGTTATTAAGTCTTTTATTCATTCATTATACGCATACCTTTAGGAGCCAGGCAAACACATTCCTTTTTAACCAGGCCTTTGGTTGACCTGATTGACATCCTATATACTAAGGTTACCAGATTTTTTCCAATGAATCCGGGGACACTTTTCAAGTTCAATGTATTTTGTATGGGGACTGATTGTAAATCCGGGGACTGTCCCTGGGAAACAGCGACGTCTGGTAACCTTACTATATACCCTTTTAAAATGTGGCTCTTTTGCGGCGGATGTTATTGGGTTATTTATTGTTATTTCGATTTTATATACAGTATTGTGATTTTTTTTGTGAACCGCCCCGAGACCTCCGCATATAGGGCGGTATATAAATTCAATAAATAAATGAAAACAATAGCTAAGGAGAGAAGCTCTTTGCTGGCTAATGGCATCAGGCGGATGCAATCAGGTCGCCCCCCACAAGAAAAGGAAAATAATATTGTTAGCTTATTCTTTGCTGAGAAAACAGCCCCTTACAATAGAGCACAATAGAGGGGTGGTATCTTCCCAGGACCACTTAAAAACATCAAGGAAATCACAGGGCGTTCCCGAGCAGCCCAACCACAAACACCCCGCCCCGGGGGCGTAATGGGCCAGCGCATCTGGCTATTAACCAGCTGTTTAATATCCCTTCCATCTCCACAACTCTTTATTATTTATGTACGTTCCGCAGTAACGGCGGTGGGCCTCGTTCGCTCTCGCGATACTTGTGTTCCTTTATTCCCGCCGCCACATTCCCCCCCCCCCCGCGAGTCGAGGCAGCGGTCTCTCTCTCTCTCTCTCTCTCTCTCTCTCTCTCTCTCTCTCGGGCCGCGTTCCCTCGCGCCTGAGCTATCGCGAGAAGCGGTTGCCTTGGCTCCCCGTAGCTATAGCAGTAGTGACACAGAGGCCCGAAGGGCGAGGGGGGCGGGGAAGCAGCCGAGGAGGCGAGGCGAGGCGATGCTCTTCGCGAGAGACGCTCCTGAGGGGGAACGGGCAGGGTTGGCCGGCGGTGAGTAGGCATAAGTTGGTAGACCCCGTTGGAACTCCTCGGAGCGGGTGAGGGCCTCGCTTCCAGCTGGGCCGGGTCCTGAGCCCGCCTCGAAGCCGGGGAGCCCAGAGACCTCGGGGGGGGGGTGTAGGGCGGCGCGCGACCCTGGCTTTGAGGAGGGTTTTTTGGGGGGGGCGGGATAAGCTCCCCCCTCCAATTCCCTCGAAATATGGGGAAGGTAAACCCCCCTTCATTTTCACTCACATTTTGGGGGGGGGGCATTGTTCCCACCCCCGTTGTTTCAGGGCACACACACACACACACCGTCTCCCCCCCCCCAATATCGTGTAAATGCTGAACTAGACTGTTAATCCCATCCCATCCCCCCCCAATCCCGGTGTGGGCGCCTTTTTGTTGTTGCTGCTTTGTCACGCTACAGGTGTTAAATGGGCACAGCATAGCTGGAGAATGCAGTTGTCACACACAGACACATACCCACACCCCCGAAACTGCAACAAAACACATCCTTGTTGAATAATCTTAAGGACTCGGATTCATCAGATGCAGAAAAGTGTTATCCTCATTTTGTCAGGCATGTTCATATGGGTTCCGGCAAAACATTGGCTCTGTTGGTATGGGCTATTTCGTTATCCTTGTTGTAGAAATTTGGGCTTTAGCAGGCCAGCTACTGCTACTCAACATTTTAAGGCCTCCTGCTGCCTGGACTTAACTTTTTTAAATACCTCCCACAATTGTATATGAGTGTGTGTGTGTGTGTGTGTGTTGATCTGGCAAGAAAAGATCTTTGTGGCATCTGAAAGCCTACTGCGGTCCACAATGCTTATGCGACAAGTAAACCTGTTTTTAAGATTCCATAGATCTCTTTTGCTCCATTCCTGAAGGATCATGCTTCTTTCATTGTTCCCTGCTTCACGTTATGCATTACTAGAAATTCCTGGTAACCTTTAGGAATTTATACTTTGAAAACCGTGGATTAAGGCTGAAATTACAATAAATAGACAGTATTGAGCTATTCACTTTCTGCATCTTCCTAATAACAGAAGGCAGGGGTATTTTGAAATAAAGGCTGTTCATCATACTTTATGGCATTGGCTTTCAAACTATTGTGCAGATTGTTGAGTTATTTACAAGTTTATCAGGGTTTTCTCAATGGGAAAATGAGTAATGGCAACCAGGGTTCGTTCCTTAAGTTTCTGCAAAGCAGGCTCCAGTCTTTTCCTGCAAGTAGATCCACTGCCAGTGGGCTACAGAAGGTGGGAAGGTTTTGCTCTTCCATGCAATGAAATCTTACCTCCCTCATGATTTGCAGCTGCAAGACAGTATCATGTACAGTATTCTCTATTCTGAAAGAGCAATGATGGACACCTTGTTTCTGTGTGTGTGCACTCTGAAATGTGTTGTGCAACTCCAGGATCTTTTGGATGAGTTTGATCTCAGGTCTGATTTAAGTTATAAAATTTCATTCCCCTGACAAGGGGACCCAGTTTATTTCCCCAGACCTCTCAGTGGGTTTTCATACCATCAACTGTGGTATCTTTTTGATTCATTGTCTGGGTTAGGGACACTGTTTTACAGCGGTTCCTTTCACACTTAAAAAACTGTAGTTTAAACACATTATTGTCTTACAATATGTTATATAAACAGCTCAAAGAAAGCCACCCTAGCATATAAAATAGCTGCATTTCTTGTTACTGTGTAGTCACATCTACATACACGTGCAAAGAAACACAATGCCTCTAGTATCCCTTTTCGAGATTAAACTTGCAGAAATTCTCTCACTGTAGTCCTAGGCACACTTATCTGGAAACAAGTCCAACTGAACATAGTGACATAGTGGGGCTGACTACTGCTTTTTATTAGTACAGTGGTACCTCAGGTTACATACGCTTCAGGTTACAGACTCCGCTAACCCAGAAATATTACCTCGGGTTAAGAACTTTGCTTCAGGGTGAGAACAGAAATCGTGCAACGGTGGCACAGCGGCAGCAGGAGGCCCCATTAGCTAAAGTGGTGCTTCAGGTTAAGAACAGTTTCAGGTTAAGAACAGACCTCCAGAACGAATTAAGTTCTTAACCCGAAGTACCACTGTACTGGTTTTGTGGTTTTTGAAGGCACGCTGGAGAAACATTTTTTTTGAAGGGTTGTGGGAAATCAGGTACTGTATTTATAGGGTGTAATTCATTTCAAATCCATCTTAAACTATAGCTAGTATTTCAAGTTGAGCATTTTCTGAAGGCATTATTGACAAATTACAGTATCTTGAATTCAGAATTTAAAAATTAAAGAAGTCTACCTGTATTTATTATTACAGTACCAACTAGCTGCCTCTGTCCTCATCTGACATGTTGCTTAGCACACCCATGCAAACTAGCTACAGTATAGGCATGAATGGAATCTCGTATTCAATAATATCCTTGACACATAGGGAAAAAATTCCATTAGTTTTGGGTAACCTCATAGTCTCACTAGATATGCACCAATTAAATCAGTATATCTTCTCTGTAATGTAAGTAATATATAATATCACATCTAAAATACTGTAAATATTTATGCAGTGCAATTTGATGTGGTTCATTACAGGCCCATGAAGAGCAGGGGGCAGCTGGGTGCACTTGTCTTGGGCCTTGGTGGGCTAAGCTGGCCAGGGGCCCTCACCAACGGCCTACTGGACTTATGCTGTCATGCAAAGAACACCCTGAGGCTTCCAGCTGACTGGGGACTCTTGCTTCAGTCAAGCTCTGCATGGGCCTGGTTCATAATGCCTGTCCATGGACTGAAGCATAGTTTGAATGTTTAGAGATCTTTGCCATTGTAATTTAGGAGTAGATTCTATTTTGCCAGTTTCCATCAAACATTATACACCTTGTATAAAAAGTCTGTTTGGTCAGGAGAGGTCCCCATGAAAACTTCAGAAAGTTAGATTCCTTCTATGTATAAAAACAACAGCCATCTTCCATTGAATGCAGCTTCAAATTTCATGAATTTAAACAGGGGAAATGGTACATTAGACAACTTTTGTATTATTTAGCCAAAGAGAAAATGTTCCCCTGAGCTGTATTTTATTCTTAGTTAAAATGTACTGATTGCCTTTATACAATAAAAAGCATGCAGAGGGTGAGCAATTTAGTCTCATCTGTTCCAACTATCTACAGAAACCTATCCTCTTTTAAAAAAAATACTTGCTAGGATAGCAGCTCAATCGTATCTCTTAATATTCAATAAGGACAGGACTTCTGCCAGGCTTGAGAGAGGTCTGGGTCCTCTGCTCCCTGGAAAATGAAGATGATGGTAGATGATGAGTTTTGCCAAGTGCTTCGCTTCTCTTAGTGCTGGGCTGAGCACCATCATCCACTGCTGCTGTGAGCCACCACTGTCCAGTGCTGCATGCCTCACTGTCTGTCTCCCATAGGGTTGCCAGGACTGTGATGGAGCAGACTGTGATGATGGGAAGAGAAACTTCACAGCAACTTCTACCTTGGTTTCCCCAGAATGCCCGTGGGCACAACTGGAAGAGTATCTTTGTAACAGAGTTAAAAGGAAAGAGAAATCTGGGGCACACATAAAATGTCATGTAAGAGACAAGTGACAAATAAGATCAAGATACAGAATTTAGAAGGAAGTTAAATGACTCGCGTGTGAAGAGTTTTGATTTACCAGTGTCAAAACATTTTCATAAAGCTGCTGAATAAACTGTTAGACAGTAAAACGTCATTCTTCAGTACAGTACAGTCCTAGAATGAAAGGAGCTCTGATGTAGGCGGATTCAGCTCTGCCTGAGATTATGTCTGCTCCCTCCCACAGGTTCAACAAAGGAAGAGGTGTTGTGGCGCCCTGTTGTATTACAAGTTATGTTGCTTTCACACCAGCTTTTTTTCCTGGAATGTTTCCTAATACCAGCTGGAGTTGCTGAATCAGGTTCCTCTTTTGAGTTTGGCTGCAGGAAAGTGAGTTGCTTTTCCTCAGCAATCTTTCCCAAGACACTGTTTTCTGAGGAAGGACAGCAGAACAGCTTCAACTGCTGTATCACAAAGTGGGCTCCACTCTTCTTGCAAGTCAGACCCTCCATGGGGCTGGAGAAGGTGGGAGAGTTTTGCTCTTCCTTACAATGAAGCCTCCTCCTTTGTGACAGATTCCCCATCAGCTTGCTGTGAGATGGAGCATGTTAGAACCCTTTCTTATCAGCCCATTTGCTAGTTAATTTCTGTGCTGCTGTTTGCAGGTGTGAAATCCATGCATGCATGCAACCAACAGGACAGAAAGTCATAAGGATAAGCAGGGGCAATCTTGAGAAAGATTGTTGCTTCCCCATCCTTCTTGGAAGTTAACCAGTGGGCACACACAAGTAGGAACAGTGTGCTAATGACAGCACTACCATATCATCCAACCCTGTACAGTTTTACTGGTATACAGGAGAAATCATGTAGGTGAATTATTAATTACTGTGCTCCACTGAACAGCCAACTGCTGTCTTGGAACCTGACTTTGCCATTTACTATGTGTAAGCATGCACCTGACATAAAAAGCTACATCAATTTGTATTGGCACAAAATTGGCCTAATTCGTGTAATCAGAGGCTATACACATCAGGGATGTAAAGAGCTTTTTAAATGGACAAGGGTTGTTTTCTTTCAGTCTTCATGGATACTAGGGACTCAAATCCGTTAACACAGTGGGACTTTTTTCTGAACAAATATGCATAGGATTGTGCTGCATGACTGACAATGGATCACAAATAACTAGGTATGGTTGAGCAGGCAGGCTTATTCTTTTTTGAAAGCCTGTTGTATCCGTTTAAAAGGAGGAAATTAACATGTTCTTACATACTTGAAATCCAGGATGTGATTAATGAGGGAATAAGAAGACTGCTTGTGGGGGGGGGCAGGGAACTGTGTTGCTTCTGTGTTGTTAACAGCAGCTAAGGATGCTTTCTGCTGGAATATAACTTTGAATAGCTACATTAAAGCTTGTTTCTTAGTTATTTCAGTGCAGCAGGATTAATT